GCAAGTCTCTGATCCGTGTAGAGTAGCAGTGACTTCACATTGGAGTTGAAAATCCGGATCTTATTTTTGATGGTGAGCTGGGCTATTGGCCTTCACACAGACTTGAGAGTAATGAAGGCTTGTCTTGCTTTTCCGATTCTGGCTTTGTCTTCCTCGTCAGTTCCTCCCGTAGTTGAAACGATGCTATGTTATGTTTATTGTTTTCAAGACATTTCAGGAATGTGATGAGCAGTCAGATTGTAACTGTGATGGTGGGAGATTGACGATTGGTAAGACGGTAGTGGTTATTTGTGATCAAATAACTGATATATGCATATATCAGTTCACCTGTCGCTATGGGGCCAGGTACATTGGTCGTTAGACGCGTATCGTTTCCAAAACGTTTCATGGTAAATACCCATTGGGAAATTAGAAAGAAGAGAACACGAAGTTCATCAAAGATATCTTTTCACTATCATTGTGTATATAGAGGTTCACCTGCTAGGTACAAAGAATGTTTCATGCGTATCCTTTCAAAACATCTCAGAGAACGTTACCCATTATAGCTGCAAAGAGGAGGTACCGATTTTATCAGAAGTGCCATAATTGAACATATGAACAACACCTCCCACAGCCTCTTAAATGATTCATTCAATGTCATTTACAAAGTAAACGGAAACCTACCAAAGGCAGTATGTTTCCAACTTCTCTGTACTACAGATGCTCTCGCAATATGCATCGAAAAGACTGGGATGTCTGCTTGAAAGGAACTAGTCCAACTTTTATAACTATCATGTACCTAGTTCGGTATGTTACCTTGGCCTTCAGTACTTTTTTGTTCGCTGCGTATATGTGGATTTTTTCTCTTTGTGCTGATTCAATTCGTCTCATTTTTCCACTTATAAAACTAGTAATTCTAAGTTTGTTTCCATTCTTTTCCTACTCACATGTGTAATTTGTTTAAAATAACTATTTAACAATTATATTCTATTCCTGCATATCTTTTTGTTTCTAAGCCTCTTGTAATCCATATCCAGTTTAAAATAATAACAATGACCTCAAGGCGGTTACAGTTGCCTAACGCCACAACTCTAGCATTTTACGAGCGAACTTATTTCATTGAAAGGACTGGTATAGAGAAAGTATTCCAGCATTGTTCAGATGTGAAGTTGACTGGAAGTGGAACTTGGTTCTGTGAAGTTATGGTGAAAAAAATGAGCTTCAGCAGAGTTGCTGATGGGCATGCTTTCTGTTGTGAAGCTTTCTGAATTCTTTTGAGAGTTACAGAAGTCAAACCGACGAATATATTATCTCGTAAAGGCCTTCCTCAATGAGTCATACATTTTGAATATATATATATATATATATATATATATATATATGCAATGACTTGGTATTATAATAACAATAATTTATGTTTCCTTTAAAGGGGTAAGTCTACAAGACGGGGCTAAAATGCTCAAACGCCAAATAGTTTCATCTCAACTGTTTAATGCTGCCGGGACTGCAAAGATATCACATAGTGGATGATTGATAGGGTGACTTCCTTATATTGGAAGTGTCGCTTAACGTTCAGACAAACAATGGTGATAAGCAGTAAATGCAGCCGAGGACGCGATGGAGCCAACGACTTTTAGGTGCTTGATTGCGAAATGCCACCTAAGCAAATTATACCTAGAATGAATACTTGGCAGGAAGTTTGCATCTTCAATACACGCTATTATTGGACTCTTGAAACAGCTGGGTATGAAAAAGATTTGCCAAATCAATTGAAGCCCATTCATTTCGCCCCCATCAATCAATTTATTTATCGCTGCTGACTCAGTCACACTGCACACAATCGGATTTTCAAAAAAAAAAATGAGCGGCTGCTACATTGTGGTATATTTGTGTACTCTGCATCACCTTTATTACTGAAAAATTGCATCCCTTAACTTCCACAAATGTTATTTTTCCCCCTTCACTTGTTGGGGACTTTTAAGAGCAACCTGGTCACTAAGTTAGGTAGATCATGTGGTATTAAATAATTGTATCTATGTAAATTATTGTATTTAAATGAGATTGTACAGCTGTTTTTGAAAATTTAATCTCCAAAAAGACATACATCTTTGCTGAATTTCGTGTTCTCTTCTTTCAAAAAGTTTCAAGAACACTATCCTCAACACCTACAGAAAGGTAATAGTGCCTGTATAAAGAGTGTGGTAATCGAACATCTTGTCAGTCAACACTGGTCATTCCATTTCAACAAACGAATCCATCAAAGTGACCTACATAGTCCAGATTAACCTACCAAAGTCAATACGCTTTCGTCTCCCTTGTTTTGCTTGAGCTTTAGCCATTCAGTTGGGGGAAAAACCAGATTTATGTATACAAAATGGAATCATCCAACCATTTGATTTTGGCGTGCTTGTTGTTTTTGATTTCTAACTTCTAAAACTCTAACATAATTCCATTTTTTCCCTAGTCTCTATGTGCATCCTAATCAAAATTACCTCATACTATTACGCAACTGCACTGTGCTTATTCATCTTCTTGAAAGTGTTATTAACTATGTTTTCTGATAGCTTATTACTACTACCCTCTTACCAATCAGCACACCCCTCGCCATCACTACTTACGCTTTCATTACTCATCACATTTTTCAATTGTCTTGACAACAATAACCCTAACTTACTTTTATTCTAATCGGACAAACCTAATGTACACATAAATACAGAAATAAGTATATATAATTGAGATTGCATAGCGAAGTGAGTGAATTTGCCGATGACAAGAGACACTTTAGTGAACTATGTGTTTTGTTCTCATTAATATCTGAATGAGGATTATTCGTGGATTCGTATTTGTCGCAGATTAACATTTAGAAATATACAAAAGAGTGCAAAGGATATAAAAAGGAATTGTAACTGTGCTTTATTTTTACAGTATGTTATGTACTAGTTTCCCCGTCGCCAAATTGTTATGTACTCGTCGCTGAATTATTGTTATGGACTGGTCGAGAAACTAATAGTCCTGACGCGAGAAGGCGGAAATCAGAAGACCACTAGGTTTGCGATGATACTTCTATTGTCCAAACACAAGGAGACGAAAATAAATGGTCTCACACCAAAGTGTTAAGTAAGTCAAGTAGTTGTAAAGTAGTTCACACAAATTGTGAATGCGAATATATATAAATAATTCAGACAAGCGTGGGAAAAATCATTAGACAGTCTTAACATGAATGGCTAATTATAATGGAGTGTCGATCCAATTATACATAGCGAATATAGCAGACATGCCAACAAACATATATGGATATATATCACCAAGCAACGGACTGTCAACAAACACTCATATTATATATAATATAATATAAGGAGAATACACATTATTAAAGGTGACAAGTTCATACAAGTGAAGTGGTCACAGACTAACCGAGCAAACAGAAAGAGAGACCAACATGCACACACACACATAAATATATATATGTGGATACATATCACAGTATTAGATGTTTGGAGGCAATCGGCAGGAGGCCTTTGACCAAGGTTTCGTGCTAGTTGGCACTCGTCAGCAAGGCGTATCTGCAACCATGTAGGAACTCATGTCCCTTCTGAGATTTGCACCCGCGACACCCAGTGCTGCAGTCAGAGACGCCTTGATGACGAGTGCCGACTAGCACGAAACCTAGGTCCAAGGCGTCCTGCCGATTGCCTTCAACCATCTAATACCATCAAATCAATGTGCACCATGATGGCGAGCAAGCTAGAATAATGGTCAGATTACAACCTGACTGATAGAATTCAGTCTACTCCAATCAGAGGACTAGACGCGTCACACTAGTTACTAGTATCAAATCAATAGATTTTACAGTGTTGAAACATAAAGTAATACAAAATAAACAAATAGTCCTATTAGTTTTTGTTTTCCTTTTTCTTTACTATTACACTGTTGTTCTCATCTTCTATCACACATCAACTTTATATTTCATATCCTATGGTGCATTGTTTGAAATGTAAACTCTACGCTGTCTTTTACTTTTATTTATTTATTTTATTTATATTTATTTATTTATTTATCTTTTGATTTTAAAAATCTTATATAATTTATGAGGTAATCAGATGCAATATGCTGTGATGCACGCTGAAAATTCCATACCTGTACCACAAATACCGTTTGGAATAAAGCTGTTACTATTATTATTATTATTATTATTATTATTATTATTATTATTATTAAACGATCCACACGAATTTAGGTGAAAAGCATTATAAGTGATTTTAGTGGCCGATGTTTTACTCATCATTGCTCTCTTAATTTCACCTGATATTTCTCTAAATTTATTAATTAATATCATTTATTTCTTGTGTTCTAAGTGGAACATAAAGCCTCAGTAGGAGATCTCCACATCATGTTGTTGTCTGCTGAAACCTTCGTCTGTCTGCACGACTACCTAAAGGCTTGCATTTCCTCTTCATATTTCTTCTTTGTCATCCTCAGTCCTACGCCTAACTTGTTGGTTCTTATTTGTAGTCCGCTTCAGTTCCAAAGGATCAGTATATCACTCTACGACAAATCTATCTGCATATAATTGCATGTATTTATTGACTGATAGCTTTCTTGTTTATTTCTTACCAGAACCGTTGAAGCTTCTTCTTTCAAGTCATCTAGTATTCAATCCAGTCAAAAGGCCGAAATCCTGTAACTGTCTGCTGGAGGTGCTTGCTTGCCATGATGCACCTAGTCTCCGAACCATAGAGAAACACACACATGACATAAGTATTACAGATCAGATTCTTGTACCTTAAGTTCCTCACCGATTTCAGAGTATCGAATGTCCGTCCTGCTTTTAAATTCTCATCCGTGATCGAAATTTACATGAATATAAAAACATGAATTTTGGATGCTTCGTTGGAGTTGAATTCCGTAAATCATATGCCGGTACAGAATGATGCTGCTTACTGATCTCACCTTTCAAGCACAGTCATACAATAATTGGTAATGTTGAATGAAAAGAATGTTAGAGACAGTGTAAAACTTACATTTGGTGCAGCCAAATCATCCAGTTGTATATTGTCTGTATACGTATCACTGACTAAAAATGATCCATTCTCTAATTGTAGAGATAATGACGAATGCGTCGGATTTAAATGACTACCTGAAGAGGAGATGAGAAAATAAGAAAATAAAAGTTTTAAGATTAATTAGATAAACTACTGACAGCAATGATGATTTAAGTAGTTTATTATTAGTTATATATCTGTACAAATAGTATTACGTGTTATGATTCCTAGTGGTGCAGACTGTTCTATAAATGATATTTACACTGTGGTTGACAAGTTTTGAGACTTTCCATCCTGACACAGCTATAAAGCTCCCGGTAGATGTTTGGAGGCAATTCCAACGCTTAACTAAGACCTGTAAAAAAATGATTTCATCTGGACTGAGTAATTAATTCTGACTACCAAGAAAATGTTAACAGAACGCACTGAATTATAGAGGTCACTCGAAGTCTTTGAAAATTAGGTATACTGTAGGTTAACATGCATTAACCTCCGGTCAAGGAATCTTGCAGAATACTTGCTAGCTACTGGCGTGGACTAGATTCGATTCCTGGCTGGCGCAATACGAATGATCTAGATTCGCCGGTATTAAGTCTCTACTTGATTTATGGTTGAACTTGAGACTAGCAACAACACTTCGCGAAACAGTTGCTGCTACTTCAAAACTTAAAGTTTGTATCCCTACGTTCCAGTCGGAACTCAAAGAGATGAAAAATGAGTCTTGAGTTTGGGTCTTGATTTGCCTACCTTAGCTTGGCAAGCTTTCATATATTAAGTGTAACTTACAGCACAATACTTTAGGCGTTCAACTATTTCAATATAATTGTTGTATTCCTGTGATAGCGAAGCGGCCGGAATTCAATTATTTAGCAAATATGATAAAGAAATGGAAGTGGACTAGACGCAATGCGATCAAATGGAACTCAAATGGGAAGCAAACAGCATCCAAGTATAACGTGGTATAGATCACGTAAGCAGGAACTGTAAGCACCGTGGAGTCAATTGGATGTGAATACAAGTTTGCTGCTGAGGCTGTATTTTCAAGTCTCAACACAAGGAATGAGTATTAATTACCATTACCATTGTTAGTTGTCTTCTTAGGTTGACATGGAGGATACCATGTGGTGAAGAGGAGGTGAGAGATTATAGGCAATCCTCGTCCCAGCTGAAGATGACAGCATCAAATAGAACAAAAAGGAGATGTGTTGTTGAAGCACTATGTTTTTATGGGAACCCATGGGAGTAACAATAATGTTACCGATTAATTTCAGTGCGGGTTTCAGTCAAGGAATCACTGAAACCAAGGTGTACTCTACACCTATCAAAGTGGGGCCTACCCTGGTAAGATATAGTGGTGAATTCCTTTCAAGTGGCTCAAGGTAGGCTTCGTCGGCTGACATTCCTAGGTTCAATCTGTTATAATTAAGCACTACCGAAGAGTCATAAATCTACACTGAAACTAATACTAAAAGATTCATGTGACTATATTGAGAAAAATAGTTTCTTAAATTATTTCCTTTCGACAGCATCGCAATGAATGAGTCTACGTTGTCTGTTGCATAAAATCAAGATTCAGAAGGGCGCTCCAGGCAATATCAACTTGCAATTGCAAATTACGCCCTTGATGGTGAAAAATCTTATAAATTTTTTAAGAATTGTGGAGAATAACATGATGAAGAAGTTAATTGGTGGATTGTGACTAGCAGTGGAATCGAGGATGCGCATTTCATACTTTTTGGGACTCGCCCACCAACTGGATGAACTTGCACTCCCCAGTGAGTGATGATGTTCCCAACGAGGCTCGAAACTAGTGCCCAAGAGATGGTTCCGTGGCCCAAGTGGTCCAGTGGATAATGCTTTGGCGTTTGAAACCAAGCCTTTCAGTCCAATCAATCGACATGAAAATCTAAAATTCAATTAAAATTATGAAGGAGTGTTCAGCGTGATTGAGGTCAACCTTCATAAGTCAGAGTTATCACAGTCTAGGAATATCGATAACTTTTTAAAGTAGTATGTTATTGTATCGTTCATGGAAATGAGCGCATCAGAACAATATCTCTAGTGGTAAGCCATATCCTAATGAATAACCTTCAGTCCCTAGATTTTCCTAATACTTCAAGTACAGTTACGCATCCCTCTTTTTTCTGCAAGTTGTAGCATTGCTATTAAAACCAGTTGTTCCATACTTCATATTCATTGCAAAACACTCATCAAGAAGTAGTCGATATTTGTCATCAAAGTCACTTAGTTGGTCAAAGACGCTATCAGACAAATGAAGATTTCAAGTTTGATCACGTGGTGACATCACTTAAAGAATCACTAGAAAACCAACTAGGGGTACTGAACAGCTGTTTCGTCCTAGTTTGGGTCTCTTCATCAGAAGGCATCCACCGGAGCTGGAACTTAGGAACATCAGGCTACAATATGAGCCACTAGAGCGCTTTCTCATTAAAATCCAACTTCTGCTAATTAACTCAACTAATTTATAGTTGTCCGTACTCTATGCTGTGTTTCCACTGTTTCTCCAGCTGATATCAACTCATGTAACCAATCAAATCCCTGCAACGCGGCACTCCATAAATGAGGATTAATATATTATTCATTTAAATTTAGTTTTAATTATTGTATTTATTGAGTGAACTGCAATTTTCAACCTATGTTAACGTGTCAGCTCATAGTGCAGGCTTGAAGTAATTAATCCAAGTTATTCACCAGGTATGATCAAAGCGTCCTCACCAGGAGTCGACATGTTAAGATGGACAGAACATTTAGTCGAATCAATCAGAGTGAAACTCACAACTGAATCAAAACAGGCAGTAAGTGACATCCGCTACACAAGAGGTGAATCTAGTGGATATCACTTTAGCATGTGAAGCAACGACTATTGGCAGATGTTAGAATTCATGGTCTGGCCATTGGTTCGGGCCCCAGTGAGTAGCTGAATGGTCTATGAGCTCGGTAGCCTTATAACCAGAATGTCCTGCTTTCAAACTCCTGTGATGGTTGAGTGTTACTGAAGAGTCACAAACTAGGACAAAACAGCTGTCCAGTATTCGCAAGTTTTCCAGTGGTTGATTCTCTAACTGATGTCAGCTCATAATTAAATCCTCTAACCAATAGCTACTGCGTAATGGTATTCGTGGAGCACCATCATCACTAAATACTGGGTAATGCATATACCTTTAGCTGATGACGAGCCTGAGGGGTAGGATGAAATGCGTATCTTATTGGATTCCACGGCTAATGTGCATTCATCAGATCCCTTTGAGGATTAACCTACTTAATTGCAGTGATTTATTTTCTAATTCAAGTGACGTTAAAACATAGGGAACAAAATCACTTTTCAACTTTATATATTTTTTTAATGGTATATATTAAGTAGAAAAGTGTTTACGCGATGAAGGCGACAAAAAGTAACGTCTTGAATAGTTAAAATCAATCCCTTTTTTCCTATCAGTCAACACAGAAACAAAACCGGAACAACAATGCGTAAGAAAGAAATCAAGAAATCATAATAAATATAGGACAAGATTGCAAAACCACGCTATCTCATTTCGTTTCCTTCCCTTATTATGAATACTAAAAACGTAAATTGGTAGACGTTAAGTCACATAGGATAACAGGAAATGTAATCAGATTCTTACCTTACAAATCAATCAATTAAGGCTCTTTATTTTCTGTCTTTAATGTCGTTTGTTATAAAGCCAAGAGAATAATCACAGAGGAAAATTAGATACTCAAGTTTATAGAAAATCAACTCACACAGATCAAATACGCAATTACAATAACATTTGCAATCCAATAACACTCAGAAATAGTTGCATACAACCATTTTACACGAAAGACAGAAGGTATAGCAAAACGTCTACTTTGAAGACGTCTTCCAAAAGAATGGATATCCACGGAACTTCATCAGAAGACATATACTGCCAAGCTAACCAACTAAACCGAAGACCTCTTTCCTTAAGAAAAGCATTAAGGAAACCACCCTAACATATGCAAAATACTTCTCAGAAATCACTGCAAGACTATTTAAAACCTTTAGGAATTCACATCGCACACACACGCCAACAAAATCAATTCACTCAGCCCTGTGTGAACCAAAGAATCAATAGTGAAAGGTGATAAAACCAATATCATCTAAAAAAAAATAAGTTGCGACGACTGAGAAAAACACTACATTGGCGAAAGTGGACGTCCCTCCTCTTCATTGTCATATCCATAAACATTAACTATCCATCAAAAGACATGATGTTCACTCCCTCACATCACTCGCGCTGGATACAGACAATCCGGACATTAATTTGACTCGGACAAAGACAGAGTAAAAAATACCAAGAATGCCAGAGAATCTTTAGACACCTCGTATTCCATAGACATAGACAACATTCACCCATCGATAAGGTGGATCTCATGTACAAAAAAGCTAAACTTCAGGCCAAGAGAGCAATCACTACCAATACAAGTAGCCTAGAATGTGTGATAAGACACAAAGACATGCAAGGACGTCCAAGGCCACACTCGTGGAGAAATCTAAAAGCTCACTTCAAATTGAAGTGTATGCGCTGAAGATATTGCCTACTAGGACAATGAACGAATCGCCGCAAATAAATCATCCAGCTAGCTTAGAGAACACAACCACATTAGAAATAGTCTGGACGTTAGAAACTTTCATTTACGTTTTACTTTTAGAGTACAGTGATAAAAGTCAACTGATAAATGAAAGAATAAATGAGAACAAAAAGAACAAAACTAGTGATTAACACAACCTCAATATTTGCAATTGATAGTGTTCTCTGAGCTCCTTGGTTTAATTGCGGAGCTTTCATCGTCTTTCTGGACGACATCTTCAGCGCAGTATTTAGGATAAAGTGAAATGATTTAAATTTCTTCATGAGTCTCCCGGTAACCATCTTTAGATATTTATTGACCGTTTTCTATTGATTGGGGGGATTTTAAACTTTCTGATCACCTGATTTACTTCTTATTAGTTGGTATATTTCATCTATATTTACGTGTTTATTAATTGCGTTTTCATTTGAGTACCAGGTGATCAGAAAGTTTAAAATCCCAATCAATAGAAAACGGTCCATAAATATCTAAAGATGGTTACCGGGAGACTCATGAAGAAATTTAAATCATTTCACTTTATCCTAAATACTGCGCTGAAGATGTCGTCCAGAAAGACGATGAAAGCTCCGCAATTAAACCAAGGAGCTCAGAGAACACTATCAATTGCAAATCATCCACCTGAGTTACAAATCTTTTCTATTAATACAACCTCAATATTCCCATGTACAACTTTCGTTGTAATTAACTTTTAATTGTGTAGTGAATTCATTTGTTTCAAGTTTTGTTACTGAAAACCAACAGAGAGTACTTGACAGCCGTCTCGTCCTAGTCTGGAACTCATCAGCAGTACACACTCATCGAATTTGTAGGTCACAACCTTGCGGTTGCAAGCTAAGCTCCTTAAAACGTTCAGACAATGAAACTCGTCTGAATAGCACAATTAATTCTAAATTTCATCACCGAGTCCAGTATTCCCTGGTTGTCAAGGGTTATCTAAATGGTATCAATTCGTGATCAGGCTTAAAATTTACTTCTAATCAAATTCAAAATTTACAAATTAATTAGCCATGCCACAGTGCATACAAGTTCAAGTTCCTTTAGAAACGAAACTACTAAGATCACTACAATATGTGGTCTGATTGGTAGCATAAAGGGGTAATCGAGAAAACAAGCAGATTTACATAATACTATATACTACTTGTTGATGACGATGAGTAGTTTGAGATCACCATGTTATGGTATCAAGCAAGTCGTCACATACTGTAGTGGTCTGGATCATTTTCGTTTTCAAAAGGAAACTACAATGAAAATGTCATTCCACGGACTGTATATAGCTTGTAGTAGTAATACTTTAATAGCAGAAGGCAAGACATGGAAGCCAAGGTATATTTTCAAATGAACAACCAGGCATTTATATCTTGTTATGTACTGGTCGATTAATTAATAGTCCTGACGCAAGAAGGCGGAAACCAGAAAACCACCAGGTTCGAGATGATATTTGTCTTTTTCAAACAACAAGGAAAATCAATGTCACACAAGTGTATGAGCGAATGTTCAAAAATGAACGAATTACTAGACAGTCTTAACATGATTGGTTGTAATGTCATATGGCAACAAGGTCAGACATGTTTGTTTAGTTAGTGGACAGACAAAAACATATTGTCAATCATAATGGAATATCCACCTATATATACATAGCAAAATATATATAGACTGTCAAAAACAACACACATATTATGTGGATACATATCATATCTATACAGTAATATATTCTTTAACCAATCAATGAGTGTGATTTTGGCTTACAAAAAGTGACATGAAATAGAATGCTCAAATACAATATATAGTATTCTTTCAGGATTTCATCATGAGCTGACATTAGTTAGAGAACCATTGGAAAACCTGGGAGTACTGGACAGCTGTTTCCCCGCCCAGCTTTGGGACTCTTCAGCAGTACGCACCCGCCGGGATTCGAACCCAGGACCTTCCGGTTACAAGGCGAGCTCGTATACCATTAGGCCACTGGGACCCGATCCAATGGCCCATGAATTCTAACTTCTGCCAATTCACGACATAGCGCGACCGCTAGCCAATGTCTTCGGCGAGTATTTGTCCTCACACCCGACCTGCTGCACCCTACTGGTCTGTGGCTAATGTAGTAGTGAACATTGAGAACATGTGAGAATAAAATTCCTGTTTAACACACTATCTGTATCATGCCACCACACTCGTCCCCAGTCAAATGTCTTAGACTGAAGTCGTTTCGATCTTCTTGGTGCTGTCGTCTTTGTTTTTGCTTGTCTTGTTGTGTCAATTTCTGGAGCTCGATGAAGTTCACACCGCCTCTCTTTGTTTGCATTTCTGATGGTATATACGTGACCCCATCTCACAGTGACCATGTCTGATCCTTCCTAATGCAAAAGCAATTTGCATGACCCTTGCGCGTATTCACCGGTGTTTCGCCTCACTGTATCATATGCTACCTTCTCTCGACTTCCCAACAGTGTTCCAGGTAAAGGCGTCTTCACCAAATGATCTTGAACGCCATTTAGCTGCTTAACAGCCTCAAATTCCTGCAAGAAGATTGATATGTTTCCTTGAAAAACTGCACA